AAAAAATATATATATATATATATATATATATATATATATATATATATATATATATATATATATATATATATATATATATATATGGTTCTCACAGTCTTGAATATTGTTACATCCTGTAGATAAATTAGTAACTATTTAATCAAGACTGCAGTTCAACGTTGTAAGGTACTTAATTAGTCGTTTAATTTGTTAATTTAAATTAATTAATAAAAAATATATACATATGAATTAATCATTTATTACATAATATCGTTACCATTTAACCATTAAATGAAATAAAATAATGTTTCTAATAAATTAATACTTAAATTATTACTATTACATGAACTTTATTTACTTTAAATGATTGGATATGAACTTTTCTTTTGTAATTAATCATGGACAGCTTGTCCAACGCCTCAAAACAAAAGTCAGTAAAACCTGTCGTCTCCTCCGTTTCGGCGCTGCTGAGCACGTTCACCGCGTTGTCCATGGCTTCGACCCGCATCCGGTACACAGTGTTCGGGGATAGCGAGTTAACGGAGCCCATCACCGTGCTGCCGCTGAACTGCGCGAAAACCGACGGTTCTGGGGAGTTTTTCGGCGTGGCGGTGATTTTGTACGAGCTCGCGCCGGTATGTCCGCTCCAACGGACCGTCATACTTTTGGAAGTGACGGTGAACACGGATAACGTGATGTCTGCAGACAGAGAAGCGGTTAGGATTAGCATAATAATCACAAAACCTGTTACAATTCATGAATACTACAAGATAACAACCGGGTCATTCCTCAAAATGGTCCGCCTTGTCAATTTTGAAAATGTGAGTTTTAGCCTGTTGAAAGATTTGACTGAACGTTTTAACTTCAAAACTTGACGTCTTTAAACTGAAAATTATGCCCTGAAAGATGATAACAGGTTTTAAAAAATATATATATAATAACAGGTTTATTATATCAGATTTTACACCACTACAATATTACAAAATTAGTTCTACGTCTGTAGAGACGGTGGGAATAAATACAAGCTTTTATTTCATATTTAATTTGAATTGTAACTAGAAAAACTTGTAAACAGACCAAAAATCATCTTCACTGGGACAGAAAACAAACCCAAAAAAATCCTTTTTGGATGTGATAAGAAGAATATCCATAACATATAGTACAAGTTTGTGTCAAGTATTTGTTGAAGTCATCTTTTACAGTTTACATGAAAGACAAAATGCACCAATTTCATGGAATGACCCAAATATGACAAATGTTAAAGATCTCCTACCATGTGCTTTGCATATCTGTAAATTAAGAGCAGAAATACAACAAATTACTTTTAATATATATATAAAACATGCTAGAAAGCATCCATTCTTTGCTTATTTCAGGGAAAAACTATTACTCTGTCATATGGTATTATGTGCCATTAGTGGCCAAGGAAGCTTATTTGAGCATCACTCAGCACAGATTTTAGATCCAGAGCTATTTTTCCTCCTATCCAACTTGAAAGTGTGTACAACATGACAGTAGTATAATAAAAAAGGACTATTGTTTTATGCATTACATATAATCTGTTTTTACAGTGCTGTTTATTAAGAATCCCAGTACACGTTTAAACTCTTCCAGCAAGTTTCCCCAAAACTGTAACTTACCGCATGCATAAGAAAAAACTAATTTTTATTCTTACCTGTGGCACAGTAATAATCAATAAGACGATATTAGAAAGATGTAAATATTTCGACTCCATGCCTCAATTTTGGTGCAGATCAGCTGCCTTTAGGGCACACTTCCTTCTTCTGATTTGACTCTCTATTTCTGCAGGGTAATAGCTGAGGCTTAAGTTCTGTTTTTTTCTCTCTATTACCGTCCAACAGGTATTTTATTGTTCTGGGAGTACCGAGCGTTCACGTGTGCCCCCTCCCTCTGTCACAGAGGAAGACTGGACCTATCAGCACTGAAGGACAGCACAGGTAGCCATCAATACACTTGAGGATATACAAAAAGATCCACTCTGCCAGAGAATGGACTGTTCAGGATTGTTTGTTCTATTGTCTGTCAAATACATCAGATATTGAATGTTCCATTTGAAATATAAACTTGGATAATACTTCAGAATTAAAAAGTATCAATGGTATTAATTCATATTATGAATTGAGAAAGTGTACTACAAATCTGAAGAGGCATTTATCGTATTACATACTTGTATGACAACTAGGGCTGGGCGATATAGCTAAATATCATATCGTTTCATATCGTTCAGTATCGATAATTATTGACATTTTTATAACCTTTTAACAAAAAGCAATAGAGGTATTAATTCATATTATGAATTGAGAAAGTGTACTACAAATCTGAAGAGGCATTTATCGTATTACATACTTGTATGACAACTAGGGCTGGGCGATATAGCTAAAAAAATGTATCAACGATATAATGTTTCATATCGTTCGGTATCGATAATTATTGACATTTTTATAACCTTTTAACAAAAAGCAATAGAAAAAATGTTTAAATTTAACCACTGTATTTTTAAATTAACACAATTTATTGAGACAAACAACAAATATTTTTTGTTTTAACAATCAAACACAAAATAAAAATTAAACAAATATCTAATTTCTAATGTTTTATATGCTGATTAAATAGGTTTTAAGGAAACTTTTGTCTTGTCTCCCGAGCCCACAGGAGGCCGCAATGAGCAAAATAATGCAGCACATTTAAATTGTCAACGCAAGGAAGTAACTCTATAAAAACGTGCATAACGTCTAAATTAACTCATAAAAATCTAATCTAATTTCGTAAATTGCATAAACAATTATGAACAAAACAGCATCATGTATTTATGCATTGCTTAATCTAAAGAGCCGAAGCGCCATTCACACAGATTGCATTTAAAAACATATGAGACGCAGTGAAAAGGAATAAACCTCCACAAATTCGTGACGTGTTTTCTAAAAGTTTTTAACTTTACAATGGCTTTCTATACATCTCTTGTGTGAGACGCAAGTCTAAAAATGCGCTGAATATGCGTTCTGTGTGAATGGCTTGGTTTCGGTTTTAACCTTTATAAAGATCTTCTCCGCATTGAGCTTCTATGTTTCTCTAATATTTTGAATGAATAACGCAGCAGCGGCGCGTCTCATGGGCTAGACTAACAAAACAATAAAATGCAACAACGTCACTTACATCATCACCGCATCTTGCGCACCCTGATGCACACCTGACATTCAAATGCAAATGTTTATTTTAAATTCGACTAATATTCATTCTTTATTCACAAGCTCCTCATCACAGGCAGGCACAGCACTCATTTCAGCATGTGTTCGTGTTTGTGTGTGCAGTCTGCGTCACTCATAGCACGTGCCTATATCGTGCACTATATCAAAAACATTTTTTCTATCGATATCGAAGAAGGTGTACCATCGATAAATATCGATACCGTTTTATCACCCAGGCCTAATGACAACCCATTTTATTGTTGAACAGTTGCTATTTCATACACTAGAAACCATATTCACTCAGATATTGCTAAAGAAAAAACAAGTAACACACTGGATTAAACATGAAATTTTGAAGTAGACTAAAATAGTATTTTGTAAAGCACACACTAGTAATCGTTGTTGTATTTACAACTTCAAAAAAAGTTTGGTTTAGTACTTTTTCTCAGATGTTTCACCTAAAATTGTTGTAGTATATTGGAGAAATAGAACTTAAGAAGTTCATAATGACAATTCAGACTTTTGATTCCGAGTTTGATGTCTTATTGATGTGATATTATTCTGAAATGCTAGACATGCGTGAGATTATTGGGGTCATTTTTGTAAGGAGGTACATGAGAGAAGCAGGGTATCTAAGCAAAGGTTTTGCTTAAAGAACATAGATTATTGTGAGAGATGCCGATGAAATGTGTATGTGTAATATTAGTGTCATAAGATCCATGTAGCTGAATGACCAGAGGAAATGTAAAAGCCATAAATCTGTGGTTAATTCCTGTCAGTGTAACATGACATGCTTTAGTATATATCTTACAGATCTTATTTTTCCTTTCTGGGGGGTATTTAAGAATTTAAGAATTTCAAAACCAAAGCAGGAATGGTTTCAATTCAAGCTGTATAGCACAACAAATTAGCAATGGTTTAGGTCGCCTGAGCTTAGGGGTGTTGTGACATACATCAGTCATGTATGTTATGTATACAGCCATCAACATGCCTGATTTCTCATGAAAAATGACCAAAACTGGCCATGTTACTACAGCCAGTGCTTAGGGAATTCAGTTGAATCCCTCAGTTGAAAGGACGTTTGTAGTATTACACTACCTTTCAAAAGTTTTTCAAAAGTTTTAAGTCAGTAAGTTTGTTTTTATTTTTGTTTTTGGAAGATATTAATACTTTTATTCCCCAAATATTCATTAAATTGATTCAAAGTGCCAGGAAATACATCTATAATGTCACAAAGGATAAATGCTGTTCTTTCGACCTTTCTATTAATGAAAGAATCCTAAAAAAAAAATTATTAAGCTGCACAAAATATCGATAATAATAAGAAATGTTTCCTGGGCAGCAAATCAGCATATTAGAATGATTTCCGAAGACTGGAGTAAATGAATTCACAGGAATAAAAAAATAAAAAATGTAAATCCAAGAGAAAACTATTTTCACAGTATTTTTGTTTTTACAGTTTTTTTTAAACAACTTTTTTTTTTTTTTAATAATTGAAAAGGCATCACTTTGGGAAAGAACAGATGCTAGAAAAAACCTCAGTATGAATGAAACAGACACGTTGGCACAGGCTGGTACTTATAAGCCAGATCTGATAATGAGATTCAGGTTCAGCAGCTACAGTATCATGGTGCCACATGAATATTTTTGTGTAACCAGAATGAAACAGGTCAGAGCAAATAGAAGTGTGTTATGGTGTATTTTAGTTCAGAAGTGTTTAAAAACACCAGAATGCATTTTGAATTTGTATTAACCTTGTTATATAGCATATATATTTCATTTTGTTTGGGAGTGGGGGCTGAGGGCAGACAATTCAAAATCCCACCCTGTAAATCCCACTTATCTGGGTCACTTATAGGTTGCGTTTGCCTCAGCATTGTTGGGTTTTCAATAGAGAATGGAGCATCAGAGTTGTAGCATATTCATAGGAGTCATGAGAGAAGGACATCTGATATGTGCATTTGACCTTTCATTTTAAGTGTCTCTAAAGTTACTGTATTTTACACTGAAATTGCTACAGGAGATTGTTTACAGCGTAACTCTCGTATCAGTGATACACTGAAAGTGGCATTATACACGAATCACACCTGTGATGCTGTCTCCATTGTGAAGAAGTGTAATATAATGTATTTTATTAAAAGTAGTATGCTTACAACAATTAAAACAACTCTGAAACTTAAACATATATATAGTCAATTCTCTTTCATATTTTTAAAAGTTCATATTTTTGTAGTTTATTTTAAGGACTTAATTCTTTTTTTTTTTTTGAATGCTATATATTTTAGGTAAGATACTACAGGCAAAACCATTTTTAGAACCATTCTGATGGCTATTTTGCTTCCAAGCATCCACAATATACATTTAAGTGTTTATTTTATTACATATATTATCTATTTGCTTGTATAGATTTCAATTACAGTCAAGTCAAGTCACCTTAATTTATATAGCGCTTTTAACAATACAGAGTGTGTCAAAGCAGCTTTATAGTATCAAATAGAAAAATAGTGTGTCAATGCAAAAGGACAATAGTAAACACTCAATTTTCAGTTAAAGGCAGTTCATCATTGAATTCAGTGACAGTACATGTCTGTAAAGGCTGTTTTCCCCAAATGAGTTATTTCTCCTGCAGAAAGTCAAAAATCTCCACTTCAGTAGAACTTGCGTACACCAAACATTTCAGTTTTAACGCAAGGTATGTAATCAGATTACTTTTTCAAGTAACTAGTAACATAATGCATTACGTTTAAACTGACTTAGTTACTTTTTCGGTGATATATTCACTGACAGCTCTCCTGTGTTGAGAGAAATTGGTAGGGAGGTACAGAGGCACGCACTTCAGGCTGATTAATTTCACTTTTGGTGTGAAAGAGTCTTTACTGTTGCCAAAAATAAAACTTTTGGGTAACTAAGTAATGCAATTAGTTACTTTTTCAAGTAACTAGTAACATAACGCATTACGTTTAAACTGACTTAGTTACTTTTTCGGTGATATATTCACTGACAGCTCTCCTGTGTTGAGAGAAATTGGTAGGGAGGTACAGAGGCACGCACTTCAGGCTGATTAATTTCACCTTTACTGTTGCCAAAAATAAAACTTTTGGGTAACTAAGTAATGCAATTAGTTACTTTTTTATGGAGTAACACAAAAGTAACTTTCCCCAACACTGCCTATCTGTATTCTGAATGTTTATATATAATTTATTTTTTTATTATTAAAAATATGTTTTTTCTGTTGACAGTATTTTCAGATTAATGGAGTGATAAAAAGAGATACACAAAATCCATTCTATAAATGGATTTAACTCAAATGTTTGAATATAGCTTTATCCAGTGTTCACATTTCTGTTCTTTTTCACCCTATTTTTTACCCAAGCAAAAAGGATACCCTATTCCCCTGTGGTGTCGTGTCTCAATAGCTAGAGCGATATTTAGACCATTCAAAGGTTTCGAGCAAGCCTTGCTGTGTTGCTGGGACTGACAAGTTTACACATCTCTTCCGTCTTTTTCTTAAAGATTTCTCTTTCTCTCACTCCATCACTGTGAGAATCACCCTGCAGAAACAGTTTACATCAGGTTTCACACAGATTACTGTAAC